GGCGGGTCACGGGGGGCAGATGGGCGGCTGTGACCTCGGCACCCTCCCCTGCGACAGTCCCGAGCGGCTCCGCTCAGATCCGCGGCAGCAGCTTCTCGATGAACTCCTTCACCGCCATCATCTCCTGCGGGGAGCGCAGGGCCCGTCACCCCGGGGGCACCCCAAAGGGTGGGCCCTGCCCTGGGCATGGGGACACGGGGGCTCTGCGGCCTCCCCGGTGCGAGGTGGGAACAAACACATCCCGAGTGTTTTCCCTGACCCACCGTGCTGGGGATGGTCCCAAAGATCCCAAAGGTGATTCCAACCCCTGAGGGTCACAGAATATGTTGAGCTGGAAGGGACCCACAAGGATCATCCAGTCCAACTCCTGGCCCCGCACTGACACCCCAACAATCCCACCCTGTCCCTGAGAGGATCATCCAAATGCTTCTTGAGCTCTGGCAGCCTTGGGGCCGTGCCCACTGCCCTGGGGAGCCTGTTCAGTGCCCAACCACCCTCCGGGGGAAGAACCTTTTCCTGAGATCCAACCTAACCCTGCCCTGGGACAGCTCCAGCCGTTCCCTGGGCCCTGTCCCTGCTCACAGAGAGCAGAGACATTCCTGGGGGGCTCCCATCCCCTCCCACGGCACTGACCTGAGGACAGGAACTGTGCATCACGCCAGGGTAGGTTTTGAACTGGACCTTGGTGGGGGTGACGACAGATTTCAGCTTCTCGGCAGTGAGGGCCCCGAAGCGGACGGGGATCATGGGATCCATCTCCCCGTGGCACTGCAGGATGGCAATGTCCTTGTTCACGCCGTTGTTCGCCGCCTGCCGTGAGAAGGGAATGCTGAGGCGTGCCCAGGTGAAGGCATTCCAGCAGGGATGGGGGGGCACTGCTGCATCCCTGTGCCCAACACACCACCCAGCAGCTCAACAGGGCTGTGGGGGAAAGCTGCTGGGAAACTCCGCTCTGGAGAAGTCCAGATGGGAAAATCCCCCCCGCCCCTCCCTGTGGACACGGCAGCACGGGATACCTGTGGGAAGGCCTTGTGGAGAGGGAGCCAGCAGCTGAGTGCCACAATTCCAGCCAGCTGGTGCTGGCAGGTGAGAGCCGTGTACAGCGACAAGGCACCGCCCTGGAGCAGAGGAGGATGGAGTTAGTGCTGGGGGGGGATCCTGGGGCACTCACCCACCTCCTCACCACAGAACATCCCTCTGAGAGGTGTCTTTTGGGGTCCCAACCCTCATGTTCTCCAGCTCACCTGTGAGAAGCCCCCCAGGATGATGCGGTTGGCGGGGATCCCGTTCTTCATCTCATGCTCAATAATTGCTTTAACTGGGAGAAGACGGAGAAGCGGGTCAGTGGAAGGTGGGGAAGGGGTAAAAAGCATCACCTGACACTTCCAGATGCACACAGGACATTTGGCACATCAGGGAGAGGCAGAGACCCCAGGGAGAAGGTGGACTGGGATCACAGAAGGGCAGAGAGGAAGGAGAGGTGGAAGGAAAACATTGCTTCAGCCCCAGCGAGGGAGAGGCACTCAGGAGCCCACCACTTCCCCCTTCCCCAGGCTTCTTACTGTTTTCTGCAGCTTTCTTGATCCCAGCTTCATCCTCAGGTGCGTCCGGAGTCAATCCCATGAGGTCAAACCTGGGAGAAGCAGCAGGGTCAGCCCCAACCTCTCCCAGCACTCAGGGTATGGGGAGGCAGGAGCTGAGTGTGCTTTGCCCTCCCTGACTCCCACAGGGCAGTGGATTTTGGCTCTTCATCCCTCCCACTCCCCCAACCTCTCCCAGCACCCAGGGTGTGGGGAGGCAGGAGCTGGGTGTGCTTTGCCCTCCCTGACTCCCACAGGGCAGTGGATTTTGGCTCTTCATCCCTCCCACTCCCCAAAAGGGTCCCACCCACCCCTGCCCCCCCAAAGCACTGACCAGGAGGGCATGACCATCTTCATGTTGAGGGTCACTGGGATCCGGGGCCTGTGGAGAAACAGTGGGGGTGGTTTAGCTCAAGGCAGAGTCAAGGGGCACAGGGGGGACTGTCCCTCCTGTCCACAGTTGCAGGACATGACTCCCAAGGGAAAGTGGCAGATCAGGGCCACCAGACCCGGCCCAGGGGCTGCAAGGTGACCCCGGGGATCACCTGCCATCCCTGAGCAGATCCCGGATGAGCTCGAGGCTCCAGGGCACTGCCAAGCAGCCCAGGTGGGGAGCAGAGCACCTGCATCCCTCTCCTGTTTGCTGCTCCCAAGGCCAAGATGGGACATTGGAAAGGGACAGCAGAGCTCTCCCAGCCCAGTGAGTGTCCCCTGCACAGGCTATTGGCACTGGGGACACACCAGGACTGTGTCCTTCCCTTCCTGCTGAGCCCCCTCCTGCCTGACCAGCAGAGAGAGAAGGAGCTCCAGTGCCTTTGGCTTTCACTGCAGCCACCAGGGATAAGCAGAGGACAGGAGGGGGAGGAAAAGAGCCTCAGAGCAGCAGCTCCTGTGCTGGTAGCTCTGTGGGGAACCGCTCTGCCTGCGGCAGGAACCGGCCACGGCAGCTGAGCCAGCCTGGCTGTGCAGCCCCATGGGCAGGTCAGGGCTCAGGCCACCATCTGCCTCCCCCAACAAACAGCCCTGGCAGTCTCACAGCCCCCCAGGACCCCCCCCCAGGGCACCCCCAGGCAGGGGCAGCACTTACGCGTGAGGGCAAATGTATTTCACGTAGGGGAGGCGGATGGAGGAGAGAGCGTCGGCCCAGCTGTGCCTGCAAGAGAGGGAGGGCACAGGGTGTTCAAGGCTTGTCTGAGCCACTTGCCCCAAGGCTTGTGCCCACCCTGCCCCTCCCCTGATGTTATTTTACCAGGTCCTGCCCTCCCCAACAGCCTGATCCCCCTGTGAAGCCCCAGCACTGAGCCCCTGCTGTCGCTGATCCCCCTCTGCATCAGGGCGAGGGCAGCACACAAAGCCCTGGAGCTGGAGGCAGGAAGGACAAGGGGGAGGGGATCTCCTGCAGAGGGAGAAGCGCCTTTGTCACCTCCACACCCCACACTGTCCTCCCTAGGTGGCCTTGCACGCCAGAGATGCCCTGGGCCAGGCACAGCCCAGCTCCCAGGGCTCCCAAGGACTGGAAAAGCCGCAGTGCTTATCAGCAATCCTGAAAGGCAGCACCACCCGCGGGGGGTGGGGGCTGCCAGGCTGCCGGCATCATAAATATTCAAGTGCAGACAGCTGCCGGCCTCAATTCCCTGTGATTCCCTGCCATTCCCTGTCAGGGCAGTGCAGGAACAGTTATGGACCCCAGCCCAAAGCCCCACACTGATCTCGGGCTGCCCCTGCCCTGGGGAGAGCAGCAGAAAAGGGCAAAATGCAAACGTCAGCAAAGCCACACGTCCCCAGCAGAGCCTGCTCCAGGGCAGAGCCTGCTCCAGGGATACTCACCCCGTGTCTCCAAGGCCATGTAGGAAAATGACCTGTCAAACAGCAAAAGGAGAGGATTAGCTGATGTGAGAGTTGGAGCCCTGGGAGAGGGGCAGGGCTGGGCTGGGCCAGCAGTGAGGTGGCAAATGGACACTGAGTCACTGCCTAGAAGAGACTCAGCGACGCTCAGGACACGTCTGTGCTGTTTGGAGCATGAGGGATGGGTGGATCAGGGACATGGCAGAGGCTCAGTCTGAACTGCAGAATGGTTTGTGTTGGAAGGGACCTTAAATGTCATCCACTGCCACCCCCTGCCATGGGCAGGGACACCTTCCACTAGCCCAGGTTGCTCCAACCCAGCCTTGGACACTTCCAGGGATGGGGCAGCCACAGTTTCTCCGGGCAAGCTGTGCCAGGGCCTCTCCAACCTCATGGGGAGGAATTTCTTTTGTGTATCACCAAACACTCACAAACCCATCCCCATGGGCTTTTCATCTGAGGCTACAGAAAGCCCTAAGCCATGGGGGGCAGAGGGAAAGCAGCTTGGGCACCCCAGGGAAGGACTGGGAGGGGGTTTTCTTTTAAAAGCTTTAATAGCCAAATCAGCTCCAGCTTCCAAGGCCGAGCTGCAAAGCTGTGTCTGTGCTTCCACACCGGAACATCCCAGCCCAAGGACAGTCACTTTTCCCAAGCAAGGCGAGCCCTTGCTGGCCCTGCCTCCCACTCTGATGAGCTGAGGGACCACAGGCCCGGCTCAAGGCTCCTCTGAACCTCATGGAAGCATCTCCCTGTTTTCCAGCCCCCTGCCAGGAGGGAGGCAGCAGGAGGGGGGCCCTCCCTTACCGCGGCGGTCTCCCGCTCTGCCCCTGAGACGGTCACGGCGTCGGCGAGGAGGGGGACAGACATGTTGTTACCACACATACACCGAGAGGGACTCGACACTGGCACCTGCAGGACACAGGGACAAGGGTGAGGCAGGAAAATAAACTCCTCTTCCCCTCTCTTGTCGTCCCCCCTCCCCCCCAGCAACTATTTGCTGTGGAGGCAGCAGCTGCTTGGGGGAAAATTAAAGGGTAGGTGAAGGCTTTGATGTTTCAAGCCCTCAGGACACCCCACTCCATCCCCGGCCTGGTGGTGCTGGAGAGTCAGGAAGCAGCAAACACTTCCCATGTCGCACGCTGTGGGGTGCTGGAAGTGTTAAAATTAGCTCAAAAATTACACCTCAGAGCCAAAGTTATTCCTGTGACTGCACCGGCGTGGGCAGAGGGCGCAGCCCCAGCATCCCTTCATTCCTTCATCCCCTCATCCCTGCCAGTGGAGCCATGGAGGAGCCTGACCCACATCTGCTCCGACAGGAAAGCAGGAAATGCCAGCAGCAGCACAGGGTTTACTGCACTAAAAAAGGTCCAGCCCTGTTTTATGGAGCTTTTTTAGGGATAAGCTGGAGCACTGGCAGCTGGCCTGAGCCCCAGCCCCTCCTGGAGCTGTGCCCCCCCAGTGATGGATGACATCCTTGTCCTGCCCTGTGACTGCAGCCAAAGCCACCACCACTGTCCCCACTGCCACAGTGTCCTGCCAGCACCAAGGGCTGTCACCTCCCAGATCCCGGGTTCAGCAGGGGTGACAGCTCCCACAACAGTCCGTGGTGTTTATTCCCAGCTCCTCACATGACCCCGCTGACCCACCAGGACTAATTAGATCAGAGCTCGTTTACAGCACTGCCATCATCCCCCAGGAGCAGGATCAGCCTCCCAGAGGAAGATCACAGAATATCCTGAGTTGGAATGGACCCACAAGGATCATCCAGCCCAACTCCTGGCCCTACACTGACACCCCAACAATCCCATCCTGTCCCTCAGAGTGTTGTCCAAACACTCCTTCAGCTCTGGTGCTGTGCCCACTGCCCTGGGGAACCTGTTCAGTGCCTGACCACCCTCTGGGGGAAGAACCTTTTCCTGAGATCCACCCTGACCCTGCCCTGACACAGCTCCAGCCGTTCCCTCAGGTCCTGTCCCTGCTCACACAGAGCAGAGATCGGAGCTGCCCCTCTGAGGAAGCTGCAGAGCCCACAGCCTGCTCCAGCCTCACATCCCACGGCAGCACCATCCCCAGCACGGTTCGGATCACCCAAACCTTCCCCAAAACCCCGGTGTCCCAGCAGACATCCTTACCCAAGGGAAACAGCCTCCTCCTCTCCCAGCCCGGGCCAAAGACCTGCCTGACTCGTCCGCCCGACTGCTCATCAGCCGCTTCCCGGCTCCAATAAAAACACCGGGAAACAACCCGGCTCCCCGGATCTGACACAGACACGCGGCCCACGTGCTCGTGTGTGTGTGTGTACTCCAGGGGCAAAACAACCAGCCAGGAGGAGCAGCAGCCCCTGCCAAAAATCCTGGCGACAGGAGCCATAAATAAAAGCATCTCTGAAAAACCCTGGCAGACGGAGCCGCTCCCCCGGGCAGGCTCAGCCCCTCACGGCTCTGCCTTGCTGGGGGGGGG